CATTACTAATGAGAAAAGAATACTACAAGAAAAGAATGCTACAAGAAAAGAATACTACAAACCAATATTCTTCATGAACAAAGGTACGAACAAAATTTTGTGAAACCTCATCTCTATTAAAAAAAAAAATACGAAAAAAATTAGCAGGTGTGGTGGTGGGCAGCTGTAATCACAACTACTCAGGAGACCGAAGCAGGAGAATCAGAATCGTTTGAACCCGGGAGGTGGAGGTGCAGTGAGCTGAGATCGTGCCACTGTACTCCAGCCTGGGCAACAAAAGCAAAACTCTGTCCAAAAATAAAAATTCTTAACATGAACAAAAGTCTGTGACAAAATCTTAACAAATAAAATCTAGTAATATATAAAAATGACAATAAATCATGACAATACCAGGGTTCATTCTGAACATGCAATTTCAAAATCATTAGGTATAAATCATCACACTGAGAGACTGAAACAGAAAAGCCGTATAATCTCAATAGACCCAGGTAAGAATTCAACAAAACTCAACACACTCGTTAAAAAAAAAAAAAAAAAATCTCAGCAAACTAAAAATGGAAAGTTAATTGCTTATGAAAATAAAGGTCATCTACAAAAAAAAAAAAATCCTACAAATGACATCACAATATATAAAAACTGAATCGCTTGCCCTCTAAATTTGGAAACAACACAAAGATGGCTACTCTCATAACTTCTACAGAACATTGAACTGGAGGTTCAAAAGTGTGAAATGAACAGTAAAAAGTGATTAAAGTTACGAAATTTAGAAAGAAGTAAAAATCTGTTTTTTTTTTAATGGGTGACACAATCAAGCATATGGAAAATCTTAAGAAACTAAACAAACAAACACCACCCTAAAGTTCAAAAGACCAAGATCAGTATATAAAAATTAATTACTTGCATTTTCAATGAACAACTGGAAAATGAAAATTTTAAAAATACTGTAACCGGCTGGACATGGTGGCTCAGGCTTGTAATCCCAGCACTTTGGAAGGCTGAGGTGGGTGGGTCATCTGAGGTCAGGAGTTCAAGACAAGCCTGGCCTACATGATAAATCCCGGTCTCTATTAAAATTATAAAAATTAGCTGGGCGTGGTGATGGGCACCTGTAATTCCAGCTACTCTGGAGACTGAGGCAAGAGAATCACTTGAATCAGGGAGGTGGAGGTTGCAGTGAACTGAGATCACGACACTGCACTCCAGCCTGAGTGACAGTAAGATTCCGTCTTAAAAATAAATAAAAAAATAAAAAGTACCATTACAATAGCACCAAAAACAAAATATTTAGGCATACATTTAGCAATATATATGCAAGACCTATACACTCAAATCTAAAAAAAAAATACTAAAAAAAATTAAGATGTAAATAAATGGAGAGATGTATTGTGTTAATGGATTGGAAAACTCAGTATTGTTAAGATTTCAACTTTCCCCAGACTGATTTATAAATTAAATATGATCCCAAACAAAACCTCACCATCTTGGCTCCTGAAACCTCCACCTCCCGGGTTCAAGCAATTCTCCTGCAGCCTCTTGAGTAGCTGGGATTACAGGCATCTGCCACTAAGCCCAGCTATTTTTTGTGTTTTTAGTAGAGATGGGTTTTCACCATGTTAGCCAGAAATCAAACTCCTGACCTTGTGATTCACATGCCTTGGCCTCCCAAATTGCTGGGATCATAGGTGTATTCATTTGACAATAAGTTATTAATTTAGATCAACTTCCATAATTGTTCTCCAGGATATACGCCTCAGAAGACCATCCCCACAAAAAAGCTCCATACTTAGGAAATATGGAGTCAAACACATACGAAAACATCCTGCCACTATAATTCAATTTCCTGCAGATATTCACATCAAATATTCACATATTAAATACTCTAAAGGGTCCTAACTAAAGTAACTTGATTGATTTTGCTTACTCCAGACATGAATGACAGTTATTTGACTATAAAAGTCTTTGTCAAATAACACTTATGAAAATCTTACGGAAATAATGAGTTAATATTTATTGAGCATTTAATATATAGGTATATATGCCAATAACTGTTCTAAGCACTTTAAAACAACCTTATGAGGTAGTGGTATTATTGTGCCTACTTTAAATATAAAGAAATTGAGGCTCAGAGATATTTACTTTTCACAGAGTTAGAATGTGCAGAAATGAGATTTTCAATACAGGTGTTCTGACTCTAGAGTATAATTATGCAATGCAGGAGAATCCTGATTCTTAGCAATGTTCCCAAGAACTCAGTTTGGGAAACTACCTTACATCATGTATTTCAGTCTTTCTTTTCACCCTGGCTTCTGATGAGCAGAAGCAATGAATTACCTTGAATCAATCCACTTATACTTCATAAGAGGCATATACATGTCAGGCATTTGCTTTTTCAATTGTAATGAAAGGTTGAGGTGAATTCTATTTTTCATCAGCTTTAAAAAAGCATTAAATCTCATTACAAAATGTAATAATTATCTGTGGTTTTTTTCCACTTCTGAATAAATATTAAACACTCTGTCAGACACTAGGAGCCAAGATGATTCTTAATGTCCTGATTGCATGTGTGATAAGTCATCGTGATTTTTCTCAAGAACATTGAAAACATCCTTGAAGGGATTTTCTGGGTTTTTGTGTTAGGTGAGAGACACAAAGAAAATTTTAGACACAGTCTGTTTTAGGAGCAGCACTTCTCACAAGAAGGCTTTGTAATTTTCATTTATTGTAGAATGAAATAGTAATATCAACATAGAAATCATGTTTGTATCATTTAAAATCATAATTTAAATGATTTTTATTTTAGCAATTCTGGAAACTGGTATATTATAAACCTGCTTAAATATTGATACAAAGTATTTAAAATGATAGTATTATAATTATTTTTCTGAGGATAAACATTTAATACCTTAATTAATTGCATACAATTAGATGGTTGCTATTAATAATGTTTCACAATTACAGATAATGCTTCTAAGAATATTAAAAGATATATAATTCTCTTTCTGTTATTTGTTCAGGAAAAAATCCAAATGTATTAGGTCAGATGGTGCAATCTTTTTCATGACTCTTGAACTCTGCCATGAATGATTTTTAAAAGGGTCTTAATAATTCAATATGTGGCTCTAACACTTTTTTTTTTTCTTTTCTGGCTTTGTGTGTGTGTGTGTGTGTGTGTGTGTGTGTGTGTGTGTGTGTGTGTGTGTTTGTATTTTATTGAACTTTAGGTTCTGGGGTATATGTGAAGAACATGCAGAATTGTTGCATAGGTACATACATGTCAATGTGGTTTGCTGCCTCCATCCCCATCACCTATATCTTGCATTTCTCCCCATGTTATCCCTCCCCAACTCCCTAGCCCCTGCTGTCCATCCTCTAGTCCCTCCCAACAGACTCCAGTGTGTGATGCTCCCCTCCCTGTATCCACGTGTTCTCATTGTTCCACACCCGCCTATGAGTAAGAACATGTGGTGTTTGATTTTCTGTTCTTGTGTTAGTTTGCTGAGAATGATGGTTTCCAGGTTCATCCATGTTCCTACAAAGGACACAAACTCATCATTTAAGGCTGCATAGTATTCCATTATGTTTATGTGCCACATTTTCCCTGTCCAGTCTATCATAAATGGGCATTTGGATTGATTCCAGGTCTTTGCTATTGTAAACAGTGCCACAATGAACATACGTGTGCATGTGTCTTTATAATAGAACGATTTATAATCCCTTGGATATATAACCAGTAATAGGATTGCTAGGTTAAATGGAAATGCTATTTCTAGGTCCTCGAGGAAGTGTCTTTCACAATGCTTGAACTAATTTTACACTCCCACTAAACCAGTGTAAAACTGTTACTATTTCTCCACATCATCTCCAGCATCTGTTGTCTCCAGATTTTTTAATGATCGCCATTCTAACTGCTGTGAGATGGTATCTCAACGTGGTTTTGATTTGCATTTCTCTAATGACCATTGATGAGCATCTTTTCATATGTTTGTTGGCCTCATATATGTCTTCTTTTGAAAAGTGTCTGTTCATATCCTTTGCCCACTTTTGGATGGGTTTGCTTGTTTTTTTCTTGTAAATCTCTTTTAGTTCTTTGTAGATTCAGGATATTAGCCCTTTGTCAGATGGGTAGATTGCAAAATTTTGTTCCCATTATGTTGGTTGCCGGTTCACTCTAACGATTGTTTCTTTTGCTGTGCAGAAGCTCTAGAGTTTAATTATATCCCATTTGTCTATTTTGGCTTTTGTTGCCAATGCTTTTGGTGTTTTAGTCATGAAGTCCTTGCCTATGCCTATGTCCTGAATGGTTTTGCCTAGGTTTTCTTCTAGGGTTTTTATGGCGTTAGGTCTTATGTTTAAGCCTTTAATCCATGTGGAGTTAATTTTAGTGTAAGGTGTTACTAAGGGGTTCAATTTCTGCTTTCTGCACATGGCTAGGAGAACCATAAACCACTGCTCCAGGAAGTAAGAGAGGATACAAACAGATGGAAAAACATTCCATGCTCATGGTTACGAAAAATCAACATTGTGAAAATGGCCATACTGCCCAAAGTAATTTATAGATTGAATGCTACCACCATCAAGCTACCTATGACCCTCTTCACAGAACTGGAAAAAACCACCTTAAACTTCATATAGAACCAAAAGAGAGCCCACATAGCCAAGTCAATTCTATGACTTTTTTATATCATTGGTAGCTTTGAATATTATCTTTGTTTTTAATTTTTCATAATTGTACAGACACAAAATTTTGTCTTATTGTAATCATGGATTTTTCAAGCTACATTTGGGCATTAAAATACTAACAATATCAAAAATAATATTTTGAGTATCTTTACATTGATGGAAACTTTCATATTTTTCATTTAACTCTGATTTATTACTGTGGGTTAGATGCCATTGGGCTAGGTGCTAGAGCTCTCTTGTTCTCAATTTCTCCTTTTGTCCTAATTCATCACACTGTTACATTTGGAGTTCAGACTGTCATCACTGAGTGCATCTATTACCTTTCTGCTTCACCTTGGCTGCTTTCGCAACTTCGCCTTTGGTGCTTCTAGCATGACAGACATAGTTGCGCTTGAGATCCTCAGAGGTAACTTTCTTGATGCTCAAAATCTGAGTTCTTGTTTCATCTTCCGTTCTACTGTGACTTATACTAGACATAGAGGGAAGAAAAATCAAAGCATTTGAGAATGACTGGAGAGCTACGGACAGTGTATGAATCAGACAAGTAAGCAACCACAGACCCCCCACAACAGGCTAGGGTGAGGAAGGTTGATAAACTGAGCTGCCTGTCATGCAGTAATTACAAAGTATTAATGGTAGGATTCTAATACTATACTATACCATCTATACTACATACCATTCCCATTGTCTAGATTGAATCCCAATACTGGCTTATTTTTATAGATTTCTCTTCAAAACAAAACGTTTCTTTTGCTTAAACTTCTGAGGAAGAGTGCTGTATCAGTTTAGAGAGAAGCTTCTGGAGCTAGGTTCATTTGAGTTTTTATCCAGGATTTGTCAATTTCTGGCTATATATTTTGGGTGAGATAACTAATCTTTCCACGTCTCAGGTTCCTCTTTTGGAAAAGAGGAAAGTTGTAATGCCCACACAGTGCCTTATATGTGTTAATTTATTCAGGAATTCTGAAGACTGAATGTGCTAAGGCATGAATATTAGAATAATGCTTAATAAATATTCATGTAGGCCATTATTGTTATCCCATTGGAATAGCTGATGCATTTCAGTGATTCCCAAAGCATGGATTCTGAAGACAGGTAGAATATTTTGGTCAGAAATCTGAAATCTCTTGGTTAAATCCTAACATATAAAAAGGTGAAGCAGTTACGAACAAATAAACATTGTAAAAATAAATATATCCAACTCTCAGTGAATCAGAGATCAAATGCTTTGGGTCTCAGATCAAAATTTAAAATCCCTTCGAACTCCTTTGCTCATCGTGTTGAAAAGTCTCTCTGCTACAGTTGACTGCCATCTAGGTTCTCTTTTTGATTAGGCTTACTGTCAGGTATGAGAATTTGGTTAAGGGCTCTGATTGATTTAGCTTAAGCTTAACTCCACTGCTATCCTATGAACACTGAGTAAGTTTCAATAGCAGCAAAGTGGAACAACATGACTTTCCTTATTACTTATTCATTATTATTATGAGAATGGGCTGCAAGGTGTTAAAAATTCCTAAAAAGATCAATAATTTTCCCTGTGAGCCTCCAGCCACATGACTTTGTCATGTAGCTGACCAGCTGCAAATTTTTATTTATTGTAGTGAACGAATTCCTGTTTGGTAATGGTATGCTTCATTTACTGTGGAATCTTCTGTCTTCAAGGATTCACACTTTCCCCTTTGCCAACCCCCTTAAATAGTCAGGTTTATTTAGGAGTAAAATGTTATTTTATTTTAAAAGTGGGTTATATTACTACCCATCTACCTTTAAAATAAAATTTCAAGTACGCAAATATATTTAGTTAATATTAAAAAAATAGCTAATTATAAATGTAAGTATAGGTTATGTGAGTTAAGAAAGAAGAGGAGAGAGGAAATGCATGCTCACTGAAATGCAAAAAACAAAACATAATTACCTGAGACAAAACCATAGGCCCAGACACTAGGATCAAGAAAAGGAAAAACAGAACTACACTGATAGGTTTCCAAATTTCCACAACCCTCGACTGTGGCCTTTTTATTCATGTAAGATATGTATTTCCTCTACTTCCATGTGGGTATCATAAATGTGTGAATCTTACTGGGCTTAAGGCAATAAGGCGCACGCCCTGTGGACAACCTGATGAAGATGCTCAGCCTCAGAACATTCTAATTCAGTTCTCTACTGGTCATCAGGCAGCATCTGTTCCTTGCAGTCCAGTAACCCGATTTTGGGATGCAGCCACCAAAAATTTGAAAATCTTCTTGACTTTTTTTAGTGATAGGGAAAAATGAGAATTTTTATTTCCATTGACTAGAACAGACATCGGAGATCATTAGGTTGAGAAACAAAGGTTAGTCACTCCCTTGCCTGCCCCCATGGATACCTTTCATTAATGGTTACATCAACAGTGATGTCATCAGGTTTTTTTCCATCAATGGTCCACCAAACCTCATTGCGAGAATCCATCAGAAAACTAAAATAGACTGTACAGGGGATGAGTAGCTCCTCCCCTGAAACAAACAAACAAACAAAACAAAGACGAAGTTAACCCATCAGTGTTTATCCTTCACATGGCTACATTGGTTCTACTTTCTGGCTAATGAGAAGCTATGAAGCTATGAGTTATGTGTACCTGAAACCCTGCTTATGAGTAATTTTCTAGTCGACTCCAATAAGGTAATGTACAATACTTCATTTCAAAAGAAACAAACAAAACCAAATAAAGAAGGCCATCAACTTTGTATGAAACTACCAGAGTGGCCATTTTTAATATAATCTAAATACATTCTAAAATGATGATATTTGTTTAAACGTCTCTGACTTTTTTAAACAAACAAAGGTGTGATGTCTCACACCTGTAATTCTAGCACTTTGGGAGGCCAGGATGGGTGGATCACTTGTGATCAGGAGTTTGAGACCAGCCTGGCCAACACGGTAAAACCCCATCTCTACTAAAAATACCAAAATTAGCAGGGCATGGTGACACACGCCTGTAGTCCCAGCTAGTCGGGAGGCTGAAGCAGGAGAACTGCTTGAACCTAGGAGGGGAGGTTGCAGTGAGCCGAGATTGTGCCACTGCACTACAATCTGGCAATAGAGTAAGACTCCTTCTCAAAAAAACAAAAAGTCTCTGACAATATCCTTTTAGCCCTAGACCTCCATATACTGCTCTTCTCCTTTGTTATTTTCCTCATGAAGGGTAACTAAGGACGGGTTCTCCATTATCTTCCATCCTTGACCAGGAAAGATGGGGAAATACCATCACACAGAGCTCTGGGTGAAGAGGCTCATCTTGAAATGTTCAAGCTATCAGGGTGCATTCAATAAATTTTAAGATAAGTTAAAACTAGAAAACTCTATGCTATCCTTCTGAGATGGAACATGAGCTTAGGGAGATCCCTAGGCAGAAAACAGCAGTAACAGCAGCAACAGCAGCAGAAACATACTAAGAACTTTGAACAAGTTATCGTGCTAAATATTTATATTTATTAATGGTCTTATTTAATCTTATAAAAGCACTATAAGGTATTTTTTTTTTAAAATCTATGTCTAACAAATGTAAAAACTGAAGCTTAAGGATGCTAAATGATCTTCCTAGGTTAAATCATTAATAAGTAAAGGGCCAGGATTTGACTTAGACTGACCTTGCCTCCCTGTTTGTCCAGAACAGTTCTGCTTTATGCCTGCTTTCCTGGTTACCTATATTAATAGGTAGTGGCTATGTTTACTCACAGAAAGTGTCCTGGTCACCCTAATTTGAACTCAGGCTTATCTGACTGAGTGGCCATACTCAATCTGCCCTCCCAATGCAACTGTTCTTAGGTCTTTCCCCTCCAGTTTTCCCTATCTGTATGTCACTAAGAAGATAAAGGGGACATGGATTCAACAGTCTTTCTGTAGCATAATTTGACAGGGAGAGAAATATATTTATGTTAGTAATAAGGGTTTACCCTGACAGCAGGAAGAATATTCATATGAATATATGAAGCCATAACTATTTCTAGGAAATTCAGCCTCTTACCGTATTCTCTGTGTTTCACAAAGCAAGTCATATTTTCAAACTTGTCTTAACTTTTTTGGTATCATTCTCCATCTATGCTGATCACTATTATCTTTTTCTTTAGAGTAAAATCAAATTTCTATGTCAACATATATAACACAAGATCACTTGTATCTTTATTATTGTTTGTTGCTATAAATTATTCATACCAGGAAAAATGTCATATTTAAAATTCTCAAAATAGTTTTGGCACAAGTCAAGTCTCATTTTGTTAAGTCCCTGAGCTCTCTCTCTCTCCCTTTTTTTTTTTTTTTTTTTTTTTTTTTTGCATCAGCCTCTTCCCTAGCCACCCCAGCCCCCTTGCTCCAGAATGTTTTGCTGCCTGCCCTGATGTCACAGCTACTTTTACTCCTACTCATGTTAATTTTAGATAAACATTTAATGTTATAACCTCTCTTGCCAACTGTGCCCTGCAGAAACCATGTAGCTTTTCTGACACGAAGACTTAGCGCCCCTGCTCCAAAAAGAACTTCATACATTTTTTTCCTGAGGCTTATTGACAAGAGGAACCAAATAGAACCAATACGGATGCACAAGATGTTCCCTAAGATCGCCTCTAATGGTCAGTGTGTTAAGCTTGATGCCTCAGGGGCTCATCCAAAGACTGGGTGGCAAAGAGGTCCACATCCATGTTAAACTTTCTGGCAAACAAATGGTGCTTGTGCAGCATCCACTTCAAGTCAACAGCAGCAAAAATGCACAGTGAGCACATGAGGCTTCACTGCAGTGTGGGTAGGAGCACCCTCAGAAACATCACGCTCAAGTTACTGCCACTTGACCAGACTAGCAACTGCATGCATGTCAGACAAGTTGTGCTTATTGCTTAAGGCAAGTGAGCTGAAGACTTCAAGGATCCTTTAGAGAGTGGCCCAGAGATACTCATCGGGGCTGTATGTCTCTTGCATCCATTCCATAGACTTTTTGATTTTTTTCACTCTGTGGTATATCCCACTTACTCCCTACTGACCACAAAATAGGTACTGCCTGAAAAAAGAGGTGTTTCAAGTGGAGGATCCCTGTTGACAGTCCCCGTGTCTGTCAGCTTTCCATTAACAACTACACACGGCTTTCTCCACCTTTCGTTTTTATTGAATGGCATCCTCTGAGCTGTTTTCACCCATTAACAACTGACTATTATCTTTAGCACATTTTAGACAGATGCTCTTTTATACTTCTGTGAAAGCTGTCAGAGTCAAAATAGAGTCACTTGTGCCACATTCTAACGAAAAGGACTTGAAAGGCCATATAAAAGGGGCTCTCAAACACACAGACCTATTATAAAAACTAGTATAAGGACTCTGAGAACGACTATATTGCACAAAGGCCAGCATGATCCTTACACAAACACTGTTTCTGTGAGGAGGTCTGACCACCAATTGCCAGTCAAGCTTGGACTGATGTTACCCTGTTACTGATTCTTATAACCAAGGATAATTATTTCAAAACAACTTACGTAATCTTCCTCACTATGCCTTTCAAAACCGTTAACATTCCTATGCTTACTGGGTATGACTGATCCCAACATGGGATGCCATAGCATGCATATTCTTGGATTGCTATCTGTAATTCATTCCTGAATAAATCTTTTTCTTTTTGGAGAGCTATTATCTTTGTTGTTATGTGGCTCTATTGTAAGTGATACCACATAGAAAATAATAAAATTTTCTATGGTTTCCTATTCACTGAACTATGGGACGCTTTGAGTCAAAAGAACAACATGGGGGCGAGGTGGCTCAAGCCTGTAATCCCAGCACTTTGGGAGGCCGAGGAGGGTGGATCATGAGGTCAAGAGATCAAGACTATCCTGACCAACATGGTGAAACCCCGTCTCTACTAAAAACACAAAAATTAGCAGGGCATGGTGGTGCACACCTGTAATCTCAGCTACTGGGGAGGCTGAAGCAGGAGAATTGCTTGAACCCGGGAGGTGGATCGCACCACTGCATTCCAGCCTGATAACAGAGCGTGACTCTGTCTTAAGAAAAAAATAAAATAAAATAAGAATAATACGTTACCTGTTATTTGGTCAGTTATAAATTATTTTTGTCTAGAATAAAAAATTACTAAAACCAAAAGAAGAACAGTAAGCATTCAGTAGTGTTCTCAAACAACATCTACTAGTTTTATCGTTGTTACCTATTATATTCAGAGTCTTGCCTCCAAGATTCACCACCGACCTTTCACAGTGGAGTAGGAGCTTGAAGGATATTTAAATCTTGTGCTCATGTTGCAGCTTTGGCAAACCAAAGCCCTGTGCAAGCTAAAGTTTGCATCAAACGGAAATCACTAATCAGCAGAGTAAGATGGCTAGCAGTGTGAGAAGGGAGCAGACACCAAGAGTGAAGCAAAAAATTCTTGAGTTGCCCATGAAATCAGTGAAGTAACTGTTCTCAAGAGCTGCCTTGGTTTCTGGCATTTCAGTTTGCAATTCATGTGTTTCTTTATGACAGTCGTCTATTTTCTGCATTAACTTAAATGACATTTCATTCCTTGTAATTAAGAGAATCTAAGTGAAATTCAGAGACATCGCTGTAATTACCTGGTTCTTTCTCATAGACCACATGATCATTAGGTGAATGGATCACGGGGGGGCCTGCATTTTTTGGAGAGCCTGTGGTAGAGGAAATGAAAAAGGGAGATGACGTTAAATCACATAGCCTTATTCAAAAATCTGCTCTTCTCTGAACCTGGCCCTAACTTCCTGGCATAGTTTGTCAATTGTTTTAGAGAAGGCCTATAGTCCAATATATACTCAATTACTATATTTCATTCACTTAAAACAAGCAAAGTATGAAATAAAGGAAATACAGATTTTATGTCTGCCCCTACTTCTCGACATGGGCTCCTAAAACCCTTGTGATTTTCTGTGAGATAGGGGTAATAGGAGCATCTTTCATTTTAATTTTTTTCTTAGTCCCAAATTCCTAATACAAGAGCTTCTAAGACCTTTGGAATCTCTAGAGTAATGTGTGTCTTTTTATATGCTAATGACATGACTGGTGACTAGGGTTCCTATATAGTTTCTGGATGACTGCTAGTAGCCAGAAAGATCATAGATTATTAACTCGATCTCCAGCCTTTACCCGTTCCTGGAAGTTTGAGAGTGTGGCTGAAATTTCCAGTTCTTTTACTTAATAATGCCTATGTGATGGAACCTGCATAAAAATCCAAAACAGTGAAGTTTGGAGGGCTTCTGGGCTAGTGAGGACATCCACAAACTGGGAGGGTACAGCCCTGAACTCAGGACCCTTCCAGACCTCGCCCTATGTATGGCTTCATCTGGATGTTCATTTGAATCCTTTACAACATCTTCTATGATAACCCGGTAAGTGTAAGTAAAAGGTTTTCCTGAGTTTTGTGAGCCATTACAGCAAATGACAGAACCCGAGGAGGAAGTGGTAGGAATCCTCAGTTTGTAGCCAACTCAGACAGGATTGTGGGCAACCTGGGAACCCACTGCTTGTAACCAGAATCTAAAGTAGAAGGTGGGGCAGTCTTGCAGGAATGAGTCCTTTACCTGTGGGGTCTGTGCTAACTCCAGACAGCTGGTGTCAAATTGAATTAACATGTAGGACATATCGTTAATGTCCTGAGAAAAGGTGAGAATTACTTGGTGTAAAAAAGTCACACATTTTGAGCATAGAAAAAATAACTTTTACTTTACAAAGAAACAAATAAAATATACTAAATAGCCTCCATGTTTCAGGTCAGATTGCTTAACCAGTGTTGCTTTTCAAAGTTTACATGAGATAGATGTCTTATGTTGTATAATAACTGATTGCTTTCATGCCTTAATCAGTTGTTTCTTCTCGCTAGGTTTCTTCACATTACCCAGAGTATCTAGTATGGAACCTGGTTAAATAAGTATTACATTAATGAGTAAATAGATGGAAAATTAACAATCATGATGTTAAGGCTGGCACATTACTCTACTTGATGACTAGTTATCAGTTGAATATTCATTTATGAGATTGCTGCCCTTTATAATATTTAATAATCCAAAACTTAAAAAAAAATAACACATTGAATAGAGTTGTCAGTGTTATCTTCCAAAGTATGGGCTCCAAAGATTTAATAACCAAGTTTTAATGCTGATTTGGCCATATCCTAACCATATAAATATACAAAAGCAAAGTTACTTGTTTTTTCCTAATTTTTGAAAAGCTAAGTTTTTGCAGCTCTAAAATGAGGATAATTAAAACTCACATCACAGTTTCATTATGAGAAATAAACTAAGTAATATTTATTAATGAAATGCTACTGGTATATAATAAATACTTAATGCTTCACAGCTTTGTAACAACAAATTGCATTGCTTGAAAGTTGAGAAAGAAACTCCCAATGCCCAGATGCATCTGTCAATTTTTATGCCTATTAATCAGAGTGACCAGGTATGCTTATTCCCAACTTCCCCAAAATGTGTACATTTAAGTACATATATTAGAAGCAACCGCCAAGGTGAATATAAGGTTATATTATTCATTTGACTTTAAGAATTTAGTCTGTTTTTTCTTATGAATTAATCCCCAGCTAAGCATTATTTAGAAAGTAAGCAGAAAAAGAAGAGAAGTGATTATAACATTGTTTGAATACTATGTGCATTATATTAAAGCATTTTTGTAGGTAACTTACACTAAATCTGACATCAGACCATTAGAAAAAGCCCTGAACATAGACATGGGATTTAGAATTACTTCTTCAAGTTACTCACTGAGTGTCTCTAAACAGGTTACTTCCTGTCAGTCCGCCTAATGTTTCCATCTATTAAAAGACAGGGTATGACAAAATACTATCCAGATATGCTATCTTTTTTAATACAGTGGACACAGTGGTATCTAGGGCTCATCCCCAAAAGCCACATATCCAGACATGATTTTTCTTTATTTCTGGGTTTGCTAGGAGTTTGTCAACTCTGTCTAAGAATCGCCGTTTCTTACCCCCATTCTCTTACTGCAAATCAATGGTTGAACATTATTGCCAGCAAATACCTTCAGCAATAGCTATGGCAGCTTCAGCACATAGAAACACAGAGTTTATTTAATCCACGTAAAACACTCTTTTGACAAAAATGTTACCTACCATTCACCGATTCTTTATTGCTTGCCTAAAACTGCATTAACACATATGAATATTATTTCTAATATTCTCAATCAATTTTAGCTGTACAGATAAAGATACAGACCTTGTTCAAAGTCATGTTTCTAATAAGTGGCAGTGATAAAATTTGAACACAGATCTGTCTGGTACTTCCTTCCCTCCCCAAACTACCTTTACTTCATTCATTCATTCACATACTCATTCAGTTGACCCACAGTTACCGAACGCTTAATATGTGCATGGAATGGTTGAAGGCTCTAGAGACAGTGCTGTAAACAAAACACATGAATCTCTTTTCTTATACTATTTACATACTAGTGTATAAAAAAGTATTAAAAACCATAATAAGATGATCACATACTTGTTATGTGTTCTGAATACTGATCATGCTTACCTACTATCTTTACAGTCAGAGTCCTGGTGAGATGAAATGTACGTCCATTTTCTGGATATGTGACAACACATGTGTAATTTCCATTATTTGAAATTAAGGCAATGAGAAAACTCAAGTTCATATCTTCAGGTACTACATTATGAAAATTCTGTATTTTATTGCAGCCCTAGAAAAAGTAAAAAAAATAAAATTTTACTTTTCAGATACATACATAGAAAATATACAAACAACACATGCATACTCACATCTAATTTTGCACAGAATGCCTAAATATCCCTGCTGCAGTTTTAATAAAGTTATTTTGGTCAAGTATTTGATAAGATTTCTGCAAAGAATACATGAAATACATGTCATTATCTTTTCTGATCATGAGAAATTAAAATTCTAAACTAAAATGTGACTTTAAAAACACAGGCTTCCTGTCGCAGGATCAAATTCTGGGCATCCTATGTTGAGAGTAAAGCAAAGTTACAGTTTTGAAATAATGACTAAGGATTTAGTAAGCAATTATTTTTCTTTTTATAATATTTCTTCACTGATTATATTAATTTGGGAATCCAGTCATTATGTCTGATAACCCAGGCCTCAATTTAGATGTTTGATTTTGGCATCTTAATTGCCCTGTTGTTTCCCTGATCAGATATTTCCAAACTGTTTGTTTTGTGTTTTTCTTTTACTTTATATCATTTTTTTTTTTTTTGAGATGGAATCTTGCTCTGTTACCCAGGCTGGGGTGCAGTGGTGATATCTCAGCTCACTGCAACCCCTGCCTCCAGGGTTCAATCAATTCTCCTGTCTCAGCCTCCTGAGTATCTGGGACTATAGTTATATGCCACCATGCCTGGCTAATTCTTGTATTTTTCATAGAGAAGGGGTTTCACCATGCTGTCCAGGCTGGTCTTGAACTCTTGACCTCGTGATCTATCTGCCTCAGCCTCCTAAACTGCTGAGATTACAGGCATGAGCCACTGACTTTATCCCATTTTTATAATTGAGTATCACAGATTTCAGAATCTAAAAACAAAATATCTTTATGGGTCTTATCAAGACCTAGGAATGTATTTCTGCTTCTAATTCACATTTTCATGTAACTGTTGACATTTAAAATTGTGAGATTGAACTATCTCATTCAACATAACTCGAATCCTATTTCGAATTCTCAGTCTCACTATTTGGCTAAATTATTACTTTTTGCAATTTTTGAGAAAAAAATCAATACATCATCTGTGACAAAAATATATGTTGAACATTTAGTTTTAGAAAAGCTTTTATTTTTGTTTTAAATATCAATAAGTCACCTATGACAAAAAGATTAGGTTATCTCTAAGGCTTTTCACATCTTTAAATTTCTGGGAGTCTACTACTAGCCTGTAATTTCAATTTTTTATATTCACATATTTCATCTTTAATGTTTGTATGATTCAGGTTTTCTTCAATTCCTGGAGCATATATTTTGAAATATGACAGTTATGCAGAGTCACATTTTGTAATGCTCTTGTCACAGGAAATGCTTATTTTAAGAACAGCATTGAACTTCCATTTCATGGAAAAGATCAAGAGGAAGCTGCTATAAGCTCAGGTAACATATTTTTTCAATACAGCTTCTCCTGTAAGATAAGCAATTACTTCTAGGCACTGACACATCAACAAATGATTTCAATATCCTTAGGTTACCACAAAGGATAAGGTCTCAATGGCCTGTATTCTTATAATAAGTTTATGTCAGATTTGGTTTGAATTGAGTTTACAGTATCAATAGAACTCTTTTATTTTTGTGATACTTTTCATTTAAACAGTTCAAAAGTATTTTCTCCTCATTTGTTAGCTTAGCTGTTCTTAAATCCCTGCTAAGTAGACAGATCAAACTAAACATGCTGTAGTTTTATAGACAGAAAAAAATGAGACAGATATTCTAGATAACACAGCAGAGAGCTGAAATTCAGTTTTCCAGACAGCTGAATAAGTCTTTCACTAGCTTCTTAACTAAAAATGAACACCTCTCCTCAGCAATGAGTTGAGGCTATAAAAATCATACTAAGACAGGCACTTAACATGTACTCTGTCTCATCTGATCCTATTCCAAACATGTCAAGTTTGTAATGCTTTTACCTCCATTTTATAGATGAATGAACAAAGCCTAGAAAAGTTAAGTAACTGTCAATGTCATACCACTAGACGGTGTTAAAGCTGCAATTTAAATTTAGTCCTACTTGTTTCAAAGTCCTTGCTTTTAATTTCACCTGATACTGTATCTTTATTCTATACAGTAGCCCTGAACCTGTGCTATGCCTGGAGCCAGCCCTAGTGAAAAGTGTGATGTGGCTCTATCCCTTAAACCATTAATTCCTGCAATCACAGGTAAACGGAAGAAGCCCACTTTTGAGGATGAGAAGTCAATTATTATTACCGAACTTCTCAACAGTATTTCTTTAAGAATGTGAAGAAAGAAACTTTTTATAGCCATTTCAAAGGTACTAGGCCTAAAACATTTTAGAAATAAAGGGAATATTTTACATTCTAAGTAAAATGCCTGGTTAGGATAATGCAGGGCATTGTTACACTAATGTCCATTAACATTAACTTATTGTGTCTGGTTAGCTCTCTCCTTCTTATAAGCAACTCTGCCTCTAGACCCTTCAACACATGTACCTGAGACACAGAGCATAATTTTAAATGTAATAAATAATTATGTAATAAACTATTAACTATTAAACATAATAAACTATTGTTAAAAATAAAACCTGATAATGTTATACTGATTTCAAAACCATTTATTTGGAATCCAGAAGAAAACAAACTTAAACAAAGATTTAGATTCCCCCAAGAATAGGAAACAGGCTTTAAAATATAAGAAATGAGTTAACAGTAAGAGAATTTCCACATGAAGCAAATACTTGTCTGACTAGAAGACAAACAAATCCTTCAAGCTGACCCATTTGTTCCTCATTCTGAATTCAAAAGAGAGAAGTTAAATAGAAGAGTGATTTTTCAACCATGCCTTGGTTGCTGTGGCAACAGACCACAACATATAGGTAAAGAACAACACAAGAAAGGACTTTGGGATCTTTCTACTGAAATGAATCATGTGGGGAGGGGAGCAGTGTGGTGGAAGAATGGCATGACGAAGTAAGAACAAGTGTTTCCATTCAATAAACCTACAATGTGGAAAGAACAGCATGAAGGCACAAAAACGGAAAAGGCACAATTCTAACTTAGAGTTATTCACAGTCTAATGGAGGATTGCACCAAAGCAATAAAAATTATATGGAGACCTGCAGTTAACATGTACTCTGTGTCATTTTATCCTTATTCCAAACATGTGAAGCTTGCAAGGCTTTTACCTCCATTTTAGAGATGAATGAACAAGGTTTAGACAAGTTAAGTGACTGTCAGTGTCATACCACTAGACGGTGTTAAAGCTGGAAGTCGAATTCAGATCTACTTGTTGCAGAGTGCTTGCTTTTAACTTCACCTGATACTGTCTCTTCACGTTATACAGTAGCCCTGAACCTGTGCCATGCCTGGAGCCAGCCTGAGTGAAAAGTGTGATGTGGCCCTATCACTTAAAACAGGCTAATTTCTGCAATCAGTATAAGAGAAATGCGAAATGCAATCACTATAATAATAAAGACAAGATATGAACGAAGTGCTATCAAAGTACAGAGCAGGTGATTTATAGGGTCTGATGCGGCCTGAAGGCCTCATAACTTTTGAATTTGGGTTTGTCTTTAAGTCATGCGTCTTGAGTCCTCAGAGGCCTTAAACCACAATAAAAGGCATTTATGGGCAAGGGAGTGTGGAATAAAAACCAAACAACTGAGAAAAACTTAATGAAGAAGAAAGATTTGGGCTGGTTCTTGAAGGATAAGTGGAATATTAACATCTGTTGAGGAAGAAGACAGACATGGGAAATAGACACATCAGGAGCAAGAAAAAGTATGAAGAACTCACCTGTATTGTCTTAGTTTTTTTTTCCTCCCTATTAGGACTTAAACTACAATATTATAATGTTCTGTTTTTATGCAGAGTTCCTCCTTTGGAAAATTAAATTGTATGAGGGCCAGTGGAGGGTAATAAGTTCCATATCTGCATAGTCAGAAACTTGCTCAATACTTGGTGCTTGGTAAACGCTTGATACATTAGTGTTGCCTGATCAAAGGTATGAATGAGAGAAGCCAAGACACAAAAGGCATGGAGTTGAGAGCTTGCAGAGTGTATAAGTGCCGATGAGTATTTTGAATCTAAGACATTGGGTGGTGGGTTGTAGGATGAAAAGGGAAAGTAGACATAAAGATACAAACAATTTAACTGAGATATAAGATTGGAACTGTTAGTAGTATCTACTGACGTTTTTGCATCCAGGATTAAGTTGATATAAAACATATTTTACTTGCCAAGATGTCTCAGAAGAGTTATACAAACCAGTACTTCCAATAAACAGAACAAAGTCATTCAAAGATTACACAGCAAATATTCACAAAGTCCCTCCTATAAGCCAGCACTGGGTTACCTGCTGGGTATACAATAGTCAGAAAAAAAACACCAATGGCCCTTAATTACTTCAATTATTTAATCAATTCCTAAGTACAATATAACTGGCTCAGTTTTATGCTGTGTGCTTGGTATGCAAGGGAAAGAGAGATAGGGAAAGAGTAGTCACTACTTATTAAAGAAAAGATAAATGCAATCACTATAGTAACAAAGACAAGATAAGAATGAAGTGCTATCAAGTACACAGCAGGTGATTTATATGGCCTGATGTGGCCTCAAGGCTTCATAGCTATTTGAATTTGGCTATGTCTTTAAGTCATGAATCTTGAGTCCTCAGAGGCCCTAAACTCTACGTCAAATGTATGTATATGCATACACAGATAGAATTATATGTGAATAGCTTTGAAAGAAAATATGATACACACTCTTTCACACTAAAGTTTGAAAATCTAATCACTATATAGGAAGCACAGGGAAAGAAAAGAGATAAAGAACCAATCTAAGTTGTCAAACAAATAGAAGCAAGCATTTAAAAAATCCTACAACACAGACCTTGAACTAACTTCTCAACACTATGTGCTCTGCCAACAAGAAGGCCGAGCCTGGCACTTTTTCAGAAATGTTCTTTCCTGATAGCACTTAATCTAGAAAAGCAAATCTTTTCCTATTTTCCAA